TTGCTGCTTTGTGCATGTTGTTATTATTAGTCATTTATGACAAACTCTCACTGGCCTGTTTGTGTCTCTTCAGCCACAGTCAATCATGGCCTTCCCTGCCACCACACCCACAGGCATGATGGGATATGGCATGGTCAGTATAATTGCAAATAATACAGTATGTGTAGATGTTGCTTTTTAGAATGGTCTGTGTAGCTTCTGTTCAGCCCTTTGAAGTCAGAAAATGAATCCGATATTACAGGCTGAATGGTTTTGGAACAGTTCATGTGAGGGACATTTTTGTTTTTAACATGCTCCTTATTATTTAGAGAATTGATTAAATGCACTTAAACTGGGTCAAATGGGATGTTGTTTTGCTGTTATGAATATTTTCTTAAGTTTTATGAATAAACTAAAGGATGGAGAATTCTCAATAGTTTTTATTACACTCTGCTTCTAAGTATTTAATTTTACTTTACTTAAAATATAATTTTGTCCGTCAAGAAAGTTGCTGTTTGTTGTAAATCATTAAAGTTACATTTAGTTTTGTGTGGAAAAACGTTTTGTGTGAGGAACGTCTCCCACAATATACGTCACCAACATGTTAACGCGGTAATGCTAGCTAACATTCATTGCTTGGTTGCTGCTAATTAGATAACTTATGCTATGTTCCACGCAGAATTATATCTCACCCGATGTGTTTAATCCAACGACTCTCGGTCCTTTTATCGCATCCTCCTTCATGTAAGTTCTTTGACGTCAGCCTTACTAATGTTAGGTTCAGTCATTGAGAGAAAAAGTTTTGGGTTTGTGGTCTTTGTAATTATGTATTTTTCAGTCTTATACTTTAACAGTTTTACATCAAACTGCAACTTTCTTTTAAATGTACATTTTAAATTGACCATCATCATTTGTGTAATTCAGAGCACAATTCAAACAGGATCTTGCCATTGACCGTACATATTTTTTCCAAAGTAAGGTCCCATGGTGGTCCACCGGGGGGACTTAAGGTCTCTATTCTGTTGAATAAAAGCCAGCATGTGCAGAATTTGAAAATGTTTGAGTTTGGTGCCCCCCAGTGGTTGTAGAAAAAATATATAAGGAATCACAGATAAAGGTGAAACAATTAGTCAAATCAATCTGCAAAAACTAAGAGTAATTTGTTTTTTCACAAAAAGTGCTGGGAGTTTACAAATTCTCAAATGTGGAATCTATAATAATACACTGAATATATTTACATTTAAATATGTTATCACTATTTTGTGGCCTAAGACATGTAGGTAAATTCTACGAAATTTGTAAAGGAAATGACTGAAATGCATCATTACTGAAAACCCCTCTTTCATCTCTGTGCAACACGCTGCAGCCTCCACAAATGGGCTCTATGGGGATGATGAATCCACCCACCATGATGTACTCCCAGCCTGTGATGAGGCCACCCAACCCCTTCGGCTCTGTGTCTAGTGCTCAGGTGGGTGCACGGCAGTCTGACAACTCCACGGAGCTGATGCACAATGAAGTCAGTATCTATTTGCACAGTTATCAGGTTGAGTAAATAGGTGTATCCATTGTGCTGTGATGTGTACCGTTTTTTAGTCACTGTGTAAGCTTTGTTGTCAGCGTGAATACTGCTGAAGATGATGACAGTTTTAACAGTGGACCCGTCACTCTCTTGAGCTGAAAGGGACAAAACTGTGAATCATCTCCCTTGTTTTGACTCCCTGTTTTTCCCCAAAAACTCCTTTTTATTAACCCTACTTTCATACATCACAGCTTCTCCAGACTAATCTCATCCCTCCTTCAGTCTCTGTACTGACTGTCTGACTTCTCCTCTGGTCCACCTACTTCCTGTATTTCTTCCTGAAATAGCCCTCTGCAGCCTCTAGTCCTTCCAGCCAGAGTCCTCTCCGAGCCCCTGGACAGGACCCGTTTGCACACCTCTCTCTCAAGGATTTCTTGTAGAGCATCTCTTTAGGTACAGCATGCTCTTTGCTTGCGGGTGCACCTGCATGCGTTGCATGCCCAGTGCTACTGTAATATCCTTTTTATCTCTTTGCATACTTGATGTCTTCTCCATCTGATTAGATGCTACATGTTTTATTTTGACCTTTGTTGCTTGGATTTTGTGCTTGTTTTGATGGAGTTATCACATCTTTAACATAGTCAGACTCATACTGACCCTTTGATCTTCCACTGTCATCATAAATTGCTCAAACCTGTTATTAGTGAACCTTGTAGCCATTGCTGAATTTAACTGACTGCTAAGTTCTCTCTCTTGCTACTCCTATCAAGCTTTTAGTTCTCACACGGCACATATGCATTTTAAAATGATTGACTGCAGTTTTGCCACCAAAATTAATAGTAATTACTGAAACTATGGGACACAGATGCAGACAGAAGTTGTCTTATAATTTTTAACCGCTGTTTGTTGGTTTTGTGCTGAATGAAAACTGACTCTGGCAGATTTTATCAGCTCTAGGTTGCAAATTAAGCTAACGTTAGCTCCATGAGTTAAACAAAACTGTAAATCTCCTCATTTAGCCTTTCTCTAATATTGTATGTTGCCTTTCTTGCAGATGCAGTTCATGTAATTTGAAGAAAAGTGTCTCTCGGAAAATGAAGCACTTAGCAGCAAAGTTTTGTCCTCGTTGCAGTCTAACTCTTCAGAGAAACATTCACACACCCCCAAATACAGACATGTCAAGAACACAACGGTGCCACGACTGTCAGAAACCATGGTAACCATGTCCAAATGACGTTTGGCGATAGCTCACACACTTTATTCTGTAACTTGTCCGAGACGTCGAGTGATGCTGCTGTCTAAACCCCCCTTAAAGAGGATCCCTTATCCATTTTACAGTGTAATCTGTAAAGATAGTTATGGGTGCTGAGAAACTTTGATGTTATATATTTGGACATACTGTGGATGTAAAGGCTTGATGTTCAGCGGGGAGGGGGTGGAAGGAAAAAGGAGAGCAGTCCTTCCCTTTCTTGATCCGACCATCAGTCATCCATTCCCTACTGTTATTTAACTGTCACTAAGTAGTGATGCTAATGGCGTTTACACCTGTTTAGTTTATGTCTTTTTTACCGTGTTTACAGTAGACATTCCTTGTGCGTTGTTTGTATTTATTTATGATTATTGGTTTAAGATTGGGGGTGGGGGGATAATGTAAAATCTACAGTACATTAAACACCTGTGGGAGTGCTTCAGCATTAAACAAGGATCTCAGACTATCATTGAGAGGTAGAGTTAAAAATAGCTATTATATAAATTACACCTATTAAGCGGAATGATAGAGCACTAAATATTCTACAAGTTTTGTGTTAAGAAATTTTTTTACTAGAGAAAGATTTCACAATCTCCTCCAATGTACTTAAAAGTGCAGGGGTTAGAGTACAAGTCAGTTAACAGTATATAGTCGATTCTGTGCCTAGGGTTTTCTGCAATGGATCAGTTTCCTGTCTAGTTGAAAAAACAAAACAAAAAAAAACACTTCATCCACAAATCTGAAGCGTCGCACTGGGTGGTGGGCTCCATTTGCTTTAAGCTTGGCATGCCATTGATTCACTGACCGTATTCAAGGCTGCCTTTACTCTGAATGTGAAAGAGTTGTCTTCATGTTGCACACATCTTTCAACACTAGTTCCTCAGTGGGAGTGGGGGTGCATGGGTGGGTGGGGGACAGAGAGGGTCTGCTTGCTGGTTAGCCGTCGTTATGCTAATGGTGAAAGGGTCACAGATTTGATGTAAATTAATTGTATAAAAGATCCAGAGGACCAGGGTGGAGCGGAGGAGCGCTGTTGATCGGTGCTCTGTGTATATATATATTAAAAAAACTGACTGTTCTTTGAGTTCAAAAGTGAAAGATGTATGAAATATGAAAGCAATTCAATCAAATTTGACTCTACCTAAGTTTGATTCAGGATATTCTCTGCGTTTGTCGCCGCAGATATTTTCTTTATGTAATTAGAACGTGTAGCAGACAATGACTGAAGTCTTTTCTTTCTTTTACAAATAAAGAGCAGCTTCCACAAACTATTGTTTGTATTTCTTGTTAAGGTCAACGTCAAACAACATAATATTTTGCGAAGATAATAGATAATAACTAAATTTAAAATGCTGCCTGCATAAGACACACTTTTATCATTGTAGGTGTCTAGTGCTATTTAAAGTTTTCAGCTGACTTCCAGTTTCTCCCATCTGTTCATTCTGTAAATTATTTTAGTAACATACATGCTCCATGGTTTCCTGCAGTAATTTGATCATATACTGAGATATTTTTATTGCCTAATAGACTAGATACTGTGGGTTTTAAAACATCTGACACAGGGCCCATCTTCAAGATAGAGGCTTAAGATCCGGTAATAAACAATGACCATAAGGATCTTGTCAGTTGATATTACACTTTAGTGGTCCATAAGTTATTATTAATCAAATTTCCACAAACCAATTGCCAAACAATGAATGTGGGGTATTTGAGGGCCTCTTCTTGGGCCAGTTGCCAGCCTAGCTTGGTTTGGTAATCCAGCATTGCCAAGAGCTCACAAGATGAGTAAATCAGATAATAAAAGAAATTTAAAAAAAAAAATTTTTCCTGACGTTTCTCTCAGGTTACCAAATACACATTGCCTTAATTTATTTTATTAAATGGTCACATGCAAAAATATTTGTAACCACTGATGGGACTGACCACGTTCACAACGGTTAAGATAAGCAGGCAGCATAATTCATGGTTTAGTCATCAGACTACTCCTGCTAGAGTTTATTTTACAAGTAGGTTCCCTTAAATATCCCAGAATGGACTTTGAACCTATGGAATGGAATCGGCGAGAATATTGCCTCCATACTCCTAACACTTTCAAGGCCTTCGAAAATATCAATTATATTGTGAGCATGTAATAGCTGTTTGAATTGCCTCACCTTCTCATGGCCTATGGGGATGTTCCACACCCTTATGTCAAACACTGCCTGTGAAAACCGAGGACAGTGGACCTGTCGGTCCAGCACAGCTGAGGTCGGCCTCCCTCAGTTTCATAAAAATGCACCCCTTTAATTTCGCATAAAAAGCATCTACACCGGCCTCAAATAAAGTGAAAGAGGCATTAAACTACCCAGCTGGCTGTTGCTGCCTCCCGCCGTTGCTGCACATGTCAGATCCTCCCTCTCTATCCACACAGAGTCCGCCCTCCTCACCTCTCCTCAGCTTCTGTCCGGAGTCCAGCGCATCTTGCAGCAGACCTGAGGAGGAGGTAAACATTTTTTGCTCTTTCACCTTGTTGTCTTTTTTTTGAAACCGACACATTTGGATGGGAGACAAGCCAGCAGGTGCCCTGTAAGGTAGGCGACTTGTTAAAAACCTGGAGTCAAAAAGTAAATGATTAGACAAGATGTTTCCAGCTACTGAGAGAAATATGAAGGACTGCAGTGGCGCTCTCCGAATCATTAAAAGTAAACTTAGGTCGCTTTTTCCAGCGTTTGCTCGCGTTATAACGTAGCCTATTCTAAAATAGTAGGCCTATGGCTCCCAAATTAAATAAAGGCTACCAGAAAAAACGCCATCAGTTGCGTGATTTGAGTATTTCTGATCATCATTTTTGACAATCCTTTGCTAGAACTTCTGCTAAAACAAATATAACTATTCATATAATTGAACGTAGAGGTTTCAAATTCTTGACAGTGGTAAAACTGCCATGTGTGCTCCCTCTAAAGGCACATTTAACTCTTGGAAACATAATCATTACATGAATTATATTTATTCTGCTAAACAGAGAAAAATAACGTGTATAAAGAAACATTTTCAGCAGCTTGTTTGCTTTTATATCAGTGTGCAGCTGTGCAAAGACATGTAGTATGAGTATTCAGTCTATGGGTATGACTAGATAATTTTACTGTCAGCTTTAACAAAGTTTCAGAAACACTTTCAAAAAACAAATGCATAGTGAAAGTCAGTGAGTTTTTTTTACAGCCTAAAGCTGTCTCCTTCAGACAGTGTTCTTAACTGTTGTGTCAATATCAGTCCCCTGAGTAAACATGCAAGACTAGCACACAAGATACATTTCAATATATATATATCTTTCAGATCCTGTTGTGGAAGAAGTAGCTACTCATATCCTTTACTTATAACAAAAAAACACTATTGCAAGTCCTGCATTCAAAATCCTACTTAAGTAAATGTGGGCTACATCAGAAAAAATGTCATTAGTAAAATTCATCACTAGGTTTTTAATACTAATGCATCAATAAGTAGCATTTTACTGTTAGCTAGAGGTGGAGCTATTTAATTTACTTTATATACAGTCAGCTAGTTTAGTCCAGAGGTTCCAAACCTGAGGATCAGGCCCCTCCAAAGGGTCGCCAGATAAATCTGAGAGGTCATGAGATCATTAATGGGAGAGAGAAGAAGAAACAAAAAACACAGATCTGCTTATCAAATCTGTTTTCATCCCTTTTCTTTGCTCTTTTGTGAACTATTGGATAAGTTGACCTCTTTTGGGCTCAAACAGTTATTTTAAGGGATATTTCAGTGCTGGAAAGATGGTATTTTCATGAAACTGGATGGAAATATTTTTGAAATTGGTGCTCCATGACCAGAGAAGAGAGAGAAAAAGGGACTGTGGTATCCCCCTTTGCACTAAAGGTAGAAAACCTGCAACCACCAGAATGTATTGGACCCGTTGTCTTCAAAGGCCACTCCCAAACTTCCCAAACTCCTTAAAACAGCCATGGGGGTAAGCCAGAGTTGGAACAGTGAATCCAACCATAGGCCCAATGTAGGCCCAATAATTACGTCAAAACCCTGTGACTGTGATCTGTTGCCAGCACAAAGTAGCCCTGTAGTAGTATTTCATAGGACCAAAACTGGCTTCACTGCTCTCCATTCAAAACCACGGGGTGGCTTCGTCCAATAATATACTGTCTATGCAAACAGCCGGCCAAAGCTACTAACGCTAGGCTAAACTCTCATAGTACCTTCTGGTAAAAAAACCTGGGACAATGTATGTGCTAAGCCTGTAATGTATACCATAACGTTACTGTGCTAGTAACACAACACTTACTCTACGCTCAGGCGTCCATTTTGCCCAAAGCCAGCTGGGCTTTCCTGGAGACATTTCCCGGAGCGGCACCACCAGGGTGCAGGCAACGTGGAGGGTAGTTAACCACTGATCAGTTGCATATACTACCCACATTGTAATGATACAATGTTAGTTGAAACCTTTAAATGAAACCATCTGACACACTTAGAGGGGAAATATCTCGTTGGTGAAACTGCTAACAACTCATAGACATCTGAAATGTGGCATAAGGCCCCAAATAGACAAAGAACGTGGTCACAAATCAAAAAAGTTGGGACCCCACTGGTTAAACCATTAGCAATGCATACTATTTAATCAGGTAAATTTATGTTTTGTGTAAAATCTTAATCTGTAAGGGAACTAGTTAAATATTCTCTCAAATAATGTAGTTAGAAAATACAATTTATTATTTATGTATAGTACTTTAGTAATTCCTTTTTCCACTGTGCAGAACAGATTAATAGAACAGTAAATTACAGTTATTAACTTTACAATCATAACTAATTTGCTAGAATTGTAGAATCTGATACAGATGGAACCAAGTGTTGCCACTGCATTCACTGTCCTTATTCAGAAGCCTGTAGTATGGTAGTCACTTTAGTTCAATGATCATGTAAGAAAGGCGTACGGTGGTTTTGGTCACTTATTTTTCTTTAATTCTTACTACTGTGGTTAATTAACGTGCATATTTACTGTGCAACAAAGGAATTTCTTCCAAGACTTCCTAACAGGCCCCTTCACTTTCCAAGGTTGTTAAACATGGGAACACTGAACAAAAGTGTTTTAGGATATGACAATGTGAATTTGTTGCCACATGATTTGACAGCGACAGACCCAGCTGGCGGTTGTTCGCTGCTGCCGAGCGTTTGCCACACCTGCCCACTGAGGAAGTTAGAGGAGGAACCATGATTGACCTGAGCCACCTGACGGAGGAGGAGCAGGGGGTGATAATGACAGTGCTGAGGAGGGACGCGGAGCTGAAGAAGGCTGAGGAGGAGAGAATCAGGTAGAAATATGTGTCTCCTCTGTCAGGAAGTCCAAAGAAATCCTTGAACAATGTAAATGTAAATATTTCAGATGTCGACAGCATCCGACTCGGGTTATTTTACGGAGATGTTTTTGCTGACATTTAAGCTAATGTAAGATTATTCAGCTAATGTCATTTTAATAATTTAATAAGTCTTCCCATCGCCTGTTTTGTGAGAAGAGGCCTTTGTTGGACAGTAAAAAAAACACGGTCATAATGATATTTATCTGCCCATAATAGAATAACACAATAACAGCTTGTCTGGATACAGACGTCGCCTCCTTTGCTAAGAAGCCTCAATGTGATATAGGCAATTAGATTATAGCCAAGTCAACACATGGGAGAGGATCATGCTGCTCTGGGGGACAGGAATAGAAACCTTCAGAGGCCTTAGTGATGAGCGACACCTCATCTGTGAAGAGCCTGATGACCACACAGTTTGAATCCTGATACTTGGAATTAAAGAATCATGTTAAAATATTGCAGCTTACATTTAAAATCAGCTGTTCCTAAGCTCTCCAATGAACATTTGGGAGGAGTCAAACATTCCCCACAGTATAAATTCAAGGACCTTTGAGACAAACAAGCAACCTCTTATCTTTTCTGACCTTTCCCATGTGCTAAAACAAAAGGAGGATCTTCTTCTATCACAATCAAAATGCATGTAAACCAACCCAAATTAACCCCCCCAAACATAAGCCTCACATAAGATGTGTTTCATTTCATATTCAAGAGTCGAAAATGTCATGAAACAATGGGCTTCTCATTGTGCGTTTAATGGAATTGGCCGGCCAACTTTGTTTTATCAGCGGGAAGCTGAATGCTTGCTGTGTCTCGACCAGTCTAGTGTAAAAGGATTAAGCCAACAGCCTGTAATAATGTGCTACCCTTGTTTCACATGATTGCCGTGGTCCTGTGTCAAGAGGAAAGATGAGTTGGAGAAGTCGTTTTAGGGCGTAGGAATTTCTTTGATTCAATTTTGAGTTGATGGAAATGTTTTCCGAATTCCTTCCTTTTAAGACAGATCATGTGCAACTGTAAGATAAAGCTGATTATGAAGCAGTGAGAAGTAGAAGTGGTGACGCAGAAGAAAAATATTCGGCGTAATATTACATTTTATAAAATAACATTGTTATTCACTTAAATTGAGATTCCTCAGGAGATTAAAAACAGAAAGTGGTGTAAAAACAAGCAGCTGAGCACAATAAAGTTCAAAATACAATAAAATAAAAGAACAAGGGAGAGAATCACAGAATCATAGGAAGCCTAATCAACTCCTGGTATTAACATTTCCAGGCTTTGAAATCTCTGATGACCTGCATTTTAATTTAGAGCATTTAGTATTTACCAACCCAAATCTAAAACAGATCTCCAGCTGAGCAGAGATGAATTTTTGCTTGTGGCACCATGTCTTTGTATCTTCTTTGTCTGCCTTTGGTTTTTCATTTCACTCATATTTAGATTTACATAAGCGCTGCTCAAACTGAATTCAGACGGTGTCAGATTCTCCATTCAGTGCAGCTTAAAGTAAGCTTGCACTTGTTCATTCACAAGAGAGCGTCTTGTTTTTAAATGACTTTCATTCATCTCAGCTAGGATTAACATACTACATAAAAAGGCGATGCAGGTAAGCCTCTTGACTTAAGCATTTGTACATGTCTCCTTTTTGTGCTCCCACCAGCAAACTGGAGAAAATACTGAACAGTGACTCACAGTCAGACACCAAGCGGAAGTACCTGACCGGAGAGTGGTTTTATGAGGCCAAGTCTCGCAGACACATGGACAGGATCCACGGCTCGGAAATCATCCTGGCCTCCATGAAACCGAGAAAAGCTGGTTTAGGTGTGTTTGTTCTATACTGTTATTTGGGACCTCAGCACTCATTACTGTACATTACTCTATGACTCTGTCACAAACTTTTTACCTGTTATCCAGCAGCAGGTTATATCTTTAGAGGTATTTTCGTGATCCCTCAGACATCTACTGTCTGCCCGGAAGGATAAAATGTGTGCCCGGGGCAAAACCAAAAGTCAAACCCAACCTTTCCACAGACTACACCGGCCGCTGCAGATGCCTTCACAGTAGACATATATGTTACAGTGGAGAAGAAGATCAGAGTAAAGTGGCACAGTTTGTGAAAATATTGGATTTAAACTGTGGTTTCGCTCCAGGCAAACATTTTATCCTCTGGGGCAGAACATTGACAACCATGGGATCATAAACACACCTGCTGCTGGATAACAGGTGAAAATATAACGTTTAGATTTTCCCTCTAAGGTTTGCCTAGGGATCACTACATGATCAATACAGAGTAACATACGTTGTGCTGAGGTAAAAAATGGTACAGCATTTTAAAAATATGGTAATATAATTGTATAGTGTTTTTCATAAACTCCTGTAAACTGCTTTCTGCTGCAGACGGGTCTCTTAGAATTGAAAGATCCAAGGCGCCCAGTAGTCGAGGTTCAGACATCGTTGCTCCTCCAAAACCTGCCAGATGTTTGGAATCACTGCAACCACAGGAGATCAAGTACACGGCCCTCTTCACTTTCTTATTTTCATGTTCTTACTCAGCCTGCCTCCAAATTGACTCAACATTGATAAATGTTGTCTTGCAAACTGTGTGCCAACCTATAACGGCTGTTTTCAAGGTTTGGATTAGGATTTCTAGAGGTGGCAAGTCTTGTCTTCATGTCAACATTTCATTGATTAGCCCACCACTCTTTCATTATTCTTGAGTGTTTCCACTCTTGAACCTCGTAGTGAAGGCTGAGCTATCAAAATCGAGCACATACTATCTGCCGCTCTACAATAAATTACTTGATCCATTTCAAACACTCTTTCAACTCCCACTCTCTCTCTTTCTTACTCTGTCACTGTATATTTATGTGTGTGTGTGTGTGTGTGTGTGTGTGTGTGTGTGCGAACAGTGTGTGTGGTGTCTTGTGACTCAGTATGTGTAAACATAGGTGGTGCTAACTGGGAACATGTCTGTTTTATAGCCCAGCAGCAGCTAACTGCTCACAACATTGCAGGATGTGGTCTGGCGTGTTAAAGGAAAACAGGCCGACAGTTTAACAAAGTGTTTAACTCAATAGAGCCTAATTACTCTAAATGAGAAGTCACTGGTCGAGTTTATTTCTGGAATAAACCACAAAAAGGATGAGAAGGTTACACTCCTGTTGCTCTGAAGTGGAATACCAGTACTTTATTACCTATGATGATTTTTTAATTCTTCTTATGACATTCTGAATACTTTTACAGTTTCAGCTTACTCCAGTGGAAGACGCTTTGTCTATCAGACAACTTTCAGTAACTTTGTTCCATAGCTGAGACATATACAACACCATTTTTTTTACAAGTTGGGTCAATATTTGATTTGGTCACGCTTCTATACTTCTGCGCAGAGGCCTACAAATTTCCTAAACATACAATAGACTCAAGAATGTCATTGCGTAATCTCTATTTGCAGTCTGATAGTGCGATGTTTTTCACTGTAGTCCTGTGTTTTATTACTGCATCACATGCATTTCAAATGTGATGCATTAATCAATGAATGAATTAAAGATTTTCTCTCCTGTAAAAAGAATCCTCTTATTCAACCACAAAATACCAGATATTGTGATCTTATGGAGTGCCCTCTTGCCCCTTTTCAAAGTTTCTTTGCTACTTTGGTCGGTTTAGTTGGGTAGACATCTTTCTCTTTGAAATCAGCGTTATTTACGAGTCAGCGAGCCCCAGTCATGCATACTACAGTATAGTTTTGAGACAAAACACAGACTTTGCTGCTGAGATGTTTTGCACATCTTGTTGAAATGCACTTCATCTGTGTAACCTCATCTGATGCTTTATCATGCTTGGATTTCTTTTAAATTCACCTCCTTCTAACTAGAAATTTTAATTGTTTTTCCCACAGTGATGCGGAAAAAGAGAATCTAAATTCATTTACCCGCTCTCCAAGAATGGTACGCACATGTTACAAAACAGCTTTTATCTGTACATTTCTTCCTTTCTTTGGTGCAATCTTGTTACAATTAAATGACATATATTGTAATATAAAACATGAATTATTGTCATTTTCCTTTAAGCCAAGGCACAACCCTTTCAACCGTGCTTCCCTTATTGTTGTTGAGCCACCTGAAAATAATAATGACATGTCAACCGGTCGGGATCAGGAGTCATCTGAGATAGGTTTGAGTTGAATTTTTAAACAGACAAACACATTTGTGAAATAGAGATTGACCACATGATACACAAAAATTAATATGCAAAGTGGTAGCAGCACTCTACTGAATCTATTATCTACAGTGAGCTTTTCTTCTGTGTTTCCCTTAGATCCCATATCGCCATTGAAGAGCCATCCAGCAGGAGAGGCCAGTCGGACTTCAGGGGGCTCCGTCACATCAGAGGGTTCCTCTGTAGGTTTCAGACCAGTGCCAAAGAAGAGGACATTTCTCTCAAGACGTACCTCCAGTCAGTCAGAAAGCAATAGCCTGGGGTCAGACACTCAGGTGGGGTCAGCGGGGGTCTTTCCTGCCCCAAGACGGAGCCTCCAGCAAGGGTCCAGTGGGAGCTCTAACCAGTCCAGCCTGAAGGGCCAAGATGAAAAACCTCAGAAATGTTTAGTATCCAAACAAGTAGCTGTGTCTGCTCCACCATCCACATCTCTTGATGAAAACTCCCAGCAGCCACTTGGGGGTATATTCCAGGTTTTGTCTAATTTCAGTGTGGAGCGAGAAAAAACCCCACCTTCTATAACAAAAGACAGGTCAGTGGACAGTTCTTCCAATGGCTCTCACAAAAACATTGTAACTAAACTCTCAAATCCTTCCGCTGCAACCCACAACCGGTACAATTATAGACCAGCCATGTACACCAGGAGTGATGCATCCACTGAAAGAGAAATCCCACAGAGGAGTGATGAACGAGATGATCAGACACAAAGACAACATGCAGCGCTGAACTCTGTCATCCTGCATACCAGCAGCATTCAGGATTCAGACAGTGGGGGAAATGCAATGAAGCAGGAAGAGCTGAGTTTGACCCAAAGTACTGTGGGTGAGTTCAGCAACAAGAAATAGCTCTTAGTTAAAAGTACGTTTGAAGTAGTTGTTTAATATCAACTGAGGCAATCATGTGTGACAAGAGTTGTGAGCAGTTTGACCTCAGAGTGACTTTTTAAGTTTTTTTTAGTCTGAAGAGGTGAACGTGTGCAGTATTTCACAAGAAACAGCTAAACTAGAGAAAAACATTGGCGTCTACATACAGAGGTATAAACATATATCAGCTTAACATCAGCATGTTAGCACTGTCATTGTGAAATGTTTACATTAGCATTTAGCTCACATCGCTGCTAGCAGGGCTATAGACTCTTAGTCTTCTTAATTTAAAAGGGAGGCAAGAGGCAAACCTGCTGCAGGACAGGCAGTAGTAGCTTTCTGGCTATATTCTGACAAGTATTTAACTCTCTTTTCGTGCCTTTATTTTCAGATCCAGATCCAGATCCCCCGGTATCTTATGACCTCAACTTCATTGATAAGTCTGATCAGAAAACCCAGAAGAAATCAAATCAGAAAGATGTGTTCAAATTATCCACTCAGACCACCAGTCCCACTGGTGATGAGGACTCCATCGCGAAGGTGTTGGACTGGTTCAGCCGCAGTACAGACAGCAGTGATTGGCTAAACACAGAGGACAGTCCAGAGGCCGCAAAGAGCTCTGACAAACATGTAGAAATCAGCAAATTAAGAGATGAAGATTCATCAAGAAAAGATTCTAGGGATAGTGTAAGTGATGGAAAGAAGGAATCTCTTGAAATGAAGAGAAATCACGTTCAAAGACAGACCAATGTGGCTAAAGAGTTAAGAGCAACAGACAGCATAAGCAACAAGGAACTGCCCAAAACACAAGAAGAGGTGAACAGGGATGCCAGAGAGAGAATGCGGCCACAGGAAGTTAAAGATAATAACGATGAAAGCCAACCGCCCCAAATATCTCATCTGAAGTCATTCTGGGAGAAAAGTAACACAGGCCCTAAAATACTTATCAGCAAATCAATCACACCCAGCGACAAAGGACAAAAACCTCACCTATCAGCGGACAAAGACGAGGAGAAAGTAATCAAACCCCACAGAGTGTCTGATATGCCCTCTGTGGCTGGAATACACAATGGGAAGGGGATTTATGATGAGTATGCCTCAAATCATGGGGATGAAAGAAAACAACAGCTGGAAATCAGTCCACAGAAAGACACTGGAGACAATGTTTGTTTAAATAATTACCAGAAGGTAGACCGTCTGGTGATGAATTCTTCAACTCAAAGGAACAATACTGACCCAACATACAACTCAGGTATTTTAAAGTTAGCAGCAAGTCCCCAAGACAAAGGAGGTTCAGACACTGAGATTTTATGTCCACAGTCAAGGACACCCAACCAGAGACCAGAGTCTGAAAGCGCCTACTTAGTCAAACCAAATCCACAGCCTGACAGTATTTCCCCATCTAAAGAAACCCAACTGCAAGACGAGTTGTCCAAGCTGCTGGATACAGATCTCCAAGCAATGGACAGTTCAGACTCTGAGAAGCTCTATTTGTCCAGAAATAGCCCATATATGAACTACAAGCAAGGTGGGAATGATATGCAAATCACCCCCAAAGCACAACTGCGTAGAGGTTCAAGTGAAGATATAAAGAGGAGGGACAATGAGGATAAAATTGTGCAATCAAGCATGTCTCCAAAACGAAAGGAGGATACATCTAATAAAGACAGAAGTAACAGTCCTCACTCAAACAGACATCAAGAAAGTACTGCAGAGAGGATTAAGCAGCTCAGATCTTTCTGGGAGCAGGAGAAGAACAAACCCATGTTTTACACGGGAAAACCTAAAGCTAGTGGGGATGGAAAAGTTGCTCGTGGTGCAAATCAAGGAAAACTGAATAAAAGATTTACAAAGTCGGAGTATGACCTGACGTCTATTGGAAACAATTCAGGCAGCGAGGAGGAAGAGTCTGAGAGAAATCATCAGCATTTCACTGTTCTTCCTTTGAATCAGAGGATAGAAAAGTTATCCCCTAGCCTGGGCACGAGCCGTACACAATTTAACACTCTGCGTGAGTTCTGGGATGAGGCCACGTCAGATACAAAGGGGTTATTTTCCTTTGACAAACCCAAAAGCCCCAAAAGGAAAGAGCCATTAAGTTCCCAGCTTCCATCTCACGAGTTAAAGTGCAGTGACCCAGAGATTCATCGTGTAAATATTGCTTTTGAGAAGACAAGACCAGCTGTGATGAAATCATCTCCACCTCCTCAGAAGCAATCAAAGTCGCCTCATGATAGACAGATGGGGTCACGAGCAGCGTATGACAGCAAAAACAACCTGTGTAATTACATGACAGCTGAGACGGGCCAGCAGAGAGAGCCCAGAAGGAACTCAAAAGACTCTAATAGAGAGGGGATATCCACAAAACCACAGAACAGTTCAGTGACTCGTTCTCCTAAGAATCGAAAAGACAGCTTTAGCAATTCGAGCAGTCGAGGAAATTCTATGCGTCGTGCCACCAGCATGTTCGCTCTGAGTGTTCCTGATGAAAAAGATCAAAGCCAGCTTAAAATAGATGTAAGCCCTGTCCACTCCCAGAGCCGAAAGCAGAGGCAGAGCCCCGAAAAAGGCGCCTTGCCGAGAAGATCATCAGAGGAATCTGAGACCCTGACTCCACGTGCACGGGCATATGTTCCCAGAGACTATCGGCATTACCTGGGCATGACAGATAAGACCAACGTCCACACCTCCCTCACCCCGGCTCTGAAGAACGAGAGGTCAGAGGACAAGTCTAGGTATGGATTTGATCTTGCTGCGCCTGTGAGGTCCAGCACTCCAGTTAGCTCAGAGGAGCGTCACAGCAGGAAGGGTAGCAAGACGAGTCAGCGCCCCCCATGGGCAAACCACAGCGGTTCAGACACCGGTCCGGAGTCATCTGTGAGCAGCACGTCGGAAACCTGGTCCAGCTTGAGGAACGGTTCAAACTGTGAGCACTAACTTCAGTTTTATATATAACTGAAGATCTGAAGAAAAAATCTCTCTAAATATACAATTGACATGTCAACATGCTATTCATGCTAGTTTAAGCAGTTATTTAAATGTGAGTTATTTTGATTTTCATCCAAACAAGTCCTGTCTTTGTTCCTTTCCTGCTCAAAACAAGTAAGGTAAAAATTAGGTTTTTAAGTTTTGAGCTTAGAAGTTCATTTTAGTTAAAACTTGGCATTTATGTTTAGATTTACATTTACTCTTTTTTGATTATATCCAAAGCGACTTAAATTTGAAGAACATACAAGCACCAGTATGTAGTATTTTATATAATAGTAATAATTTTTAGTTACATTTCTATAACGTCTTTGAATGTACAAAATGTCTCAAATATTTTTTACAAAATAAAGAGATAAAATATATTAAAAAGTGGCAAAAATAAACAGTAACAAAATAAGATTTAACAAACAAAATGTAAGAAAAAACAAAAAGGTCCTGGATTAATAAAGCGGCAATGAAAAAATATCAAAACATCTACACACTATACAGGCTGAACAAAAGTAACAAAATAAAATTTAAATAAACTTTCATCAAAAGATCCATGTTTACATATTCTATATGTAGGATTAATATTGAAATTAATAGAATATCACACATGCCGTACATTTATGTATTTGTGTATGTATTTTTAAAGAAAGCAAAACCATTCATTTCTACAAGATATAATATAATAATAATGTAAGATTTTTCTAAGTAGCTTAACTTTACAATCAGTAAAGCAATTTCATTTGTCTTGAAGAATTTAAAGGCTGAGTATTACAACACAGGCAGAAAATAACATTCAATTTGGATAACAATTAAATTTTAAAAATGCACAAAGCAGGAAGTTCAGAATTAATAAACATATAGATCTCCTATATAGTCAATATTTAATAGAAATGTGGAGGTTTTAAGTTTTATGAAATTTCACATAATTCTTACAATGTATTTAAAATAAAGCAATTCTTAATATCTTTTTTAAAGTAGTCCAACTGCTGCTGTTTGCAGTCTCATTATTATCACTACAGGCTGTATCCAGCAGTATCCTTGATATCATGTCCGTGTTGGGTTATCTGTGTTGGCAGAAGCAAATCTTTGTAAACACTGTGGGTTCCTGTGGTCAGCTGCAAGTGTTTAATTAGTGGGCTGGGCGATATATAACTGTAACTTTAACAGTGTTTCACCAACCTAAGCAGTTTCATGTCAGCTTTCTTTCACAGTAGTTTTAATAGCTTTGAGGCAGGGGCTGCACCTATATAGCTCAAACAAAGGTTTTCAAATTGTTAACAGCGTACATAATATTTTCAGTTTTTTCAGCAAATGTAGACATTGAAACATCCTCCTATTTTGTTAATAGGCTTATAAGAGAGCAATTAAATCAGACTCAGATATATGCAGGTTAGCACCAATTCATAACAGAAGTTATCTTAATGCACTTTTGTAGCATTATTTAGAGAGACCCAATAATTCCCACCATGATCAAGCACTAAGCGACAGTGGCAAGGAAAAACTCCCTATTAATTGGTAAAACCTTAACTACAGGCAGTATAGGCTTATAGCAGCATAACTATGGTTCAGGGCTCACCTGAGCCATATAAAAGGTGTATAGGATTGATCCAAGCACAGAATCTTGTAGAACTCTGTGACAAACTTCAGGGATGATACATTGTTAACATGCACAAACTAAGATTGATCTGATAAATAGGACTTCTACCAACTTATAGTAGCGCCTTTATGCCAATTAAATGTTTGAGTCTGTATTAGGGTGTGATGGTCAAGTGTATCAAATGCAGCACTATGATCTAACAAGTCAAGTACAGAGACAAATGTTTTAGTGCTGTCTCTGTATTTTGATGCTCTAAATCCTTACTGAAAATATGCAGATAAACTATTGCTATTTAGAAAGTCACACAACTGATTGGTGACTGCTTTCTGAAGGATCTTAGAGAAAAAGGGAACGTTAGATATGGGTCGACTAAAACCCCTATATCAAGAGTGGGCTTTTTAAGATGAGGTTTATTTACAGCTCCTTTAAATGACTGTGGTACCTAGCTTTTTAGTAAAGACAGATTGAAAGTATCTAATAAAGACGTTCTTTAAGCAGCCTAGGGTCCCCTATCATCCCCTAACTTAATGGCTTGAATGAAGAAAACATTTAAGTTAGTCGGTGAAGACTGACAGGGTTGAAGATACATTGGTACCAGTTGAGGGCATTAAGTGATTAATTTTGTCTCTAATAATTAGAATTTTATCATTGAAGAAGCTCATGAAGTCATCACTACTGGGGGATATAGGAATACATGGCTCAATAGAGTTGTGGCTCTCTGTCAGTCTACAGTGCTGAAAAGAAACATGCGGTCCTTGTTTCCTCTATTAATGATTAATGAGTTATAGGCTGCTCTGGCATTATGGAGGGACTTCCTAGAAGTTTAAAGACTATCTTGCCAGATTAAACGAGGTTCTTCCAGATTAATGGAACACCATTTCCTTTCAAGTTTTCATAATGTTTGCTTTAATATGCAGGTTTGGGAGAGTTACACCATGGAACATTCCTTCTTTGTTTTATTATCTATAGAGTAAAGTGGGCCTGCAGCACTATAAACAAGATGATCAATTTGGGAGGGACTGAGTCCACTTTTATATTGAGACATGGTATTGAGTTAAATGCAGATGGTATCACTTCCTTAAATTTAGCCACAGCACTATCAGATAGACAGCTTGTGTAGAAAAGTAAATAAACAAGCAGAGTTGGACACACCCCCACCAATCCCCCTACGTAATAATTACTCAATCATGAAAGTAGTTGTTAGTTGCAGCCCTAATTATAAGTATAGGCACAACAAACGTTCTGTAAACAATAGACTTGCTTTAGTAAAATAATCTCACATTAAAGCTCAAAATACCAACCAATACCAATTACCCAGATTTTTACAAGCAGTCAGGACTCAAAACAAAGACTCTGCCCTCTGTTAAACATACTGTCTTACTGTCTTGTTAGAGTCTTTTTTTCTCCAATATGTACTGTAGGTGAGAATGATGATGAGGGCCATAACCCTGTAAGGAAAGCATTGAGGAGAGCAGAAGCACGGCCTAAAAATCTGGCTAAAAGTATGGAGGACATCACAGTGTCCCTGTCACCACGTGAGCATGTCCTCAAGTTCCAAGATATATTGTTCACATGCACAGATAATTTTGGGTGACTGTGACTTCTTTCATTTGTTTCTTACAGGACAAGAAAGAAGGCAAGACGCGACTGCTGACATGAGACGCGTTAGTGATGGTAAAAAATTGCCTGATGCTTTTCATTATGGATATTTATTTAGTGTCAAATTAGTCAAGTTTTTGTGTCTTCTGCTTCCCAATCAACCTCTCTTTAGTTTCATCCATCCCGTCACCCTCCTCCTCCTTATTTTCGGATCCGGAGCACCTGAAGAAGATGAGCAAATCCGTTCCTTCGTTCTTACAGAAGGAGGTAAAACCACCCCATCATCTTTTAGTCCAGTAGGTCAAAGTCTGCTCTGCATCACTGTGCATGGAGATTTCTGTGCCTACTGTTTGTGTTTCAGGACGTCGACAGAGACTCTGACTCCAATTGCGAGGACAGTTACCACAGAGGAAGGCTAATGGCCAACTCTTTGACTAACCTCACCAGCTCCTCTGGCATGGCGTCTGTGTCGTCTGTATGTTCACACACAGCAGCAGCTTACGCATGTGCATGCTTCACATTCAAACACTGCTCTCTTAAACCTGCGCTGTTCGTTGCCTTTTAAGCTTAAGCTTTTCAGAAACTGACATTTTTCAATGCCAAATAGGCAAATGAAGACAAGAGAGTGTTAATAATGCATTTTCTGCTCAGTGTATTTTTAGAGAAACATGTACAAAATCTTCCTTCCCATTAAATAAAAACCCACGTTTGAATGTTTTATGATATGTCACTACTATGGCAGTATCTGGTAGTATCTCAATGACAAAAAAATATATTTTGTAGGTATTCTTGATGATATTTAAGAGTTTGTAGCATTTTAAAATGTTAATGACTCATGTATTAATTTAGCGTCCAATGAAAAGATTTCTTAATGTGACACTGCTAAAGCATAGTACTTGCTGTGTCGCAGTTATCCGTTACTCTGACCGGGCCCCTACTGTACAAAAACACAACTTTTCACTGATTTTGGTGAAACTGGTATTTCTATTTCTAATATTTGATGGAGAAATATTAGAAATATGGAGAAAATCTGTTCCAGTTTTCTCTCAAATGTACACTGTCAAAAGCATTGCGTTTTGTGTTTCATGGAAACTTTCTGCTTAAAGTAATCCCTATGAGTAATCCCCAATTTCACAAAATGTACCTGTAATCTGATAACGTCTATTTTTTCTGTAGTGTGACGGAATACAGTTACTTTTTTTGGTATCCTGATTATGTAACGCCATTACATGTAATCCGTTACTCCCCAACCCTGTCAGTGGAATTCCCCTTTTAAAGTGGTACTAATTAGCGCTGTACTTGACCTCTATCTCTAGAAGACATATTTGATTTTCAGCAAAACACAAGCCGTCCAATAAATTGTCCACAAATTGTCCAATAAAACAATGTATGTAATACATTTACAGTTATAATTAATAATAATAATAATAAAATGTTTGCCTACTTGTTTGTGTGTGCTCCTAGCTGAGTGGAAGTGTGATGACCATGTACAGCGGGGAATTTGGGAATGTGGAGGTACAGGGAAACATCCATTTCTCCATCAACTACATTCAGAGACTCAAAGAGTTTCACATCTTTGTTGCTGAGTGTCAAGACTTGGCTGCAGTGGACCCAAAGAGGGGCCGCTCAGATCCGTGAGTGCTGTACTGAAATATTTATAATGTAGGATAAACATTTATATACTGTCTCTACAAAGTAAGATGAGTGACTGTTTGACCAAATGAGAATGGGTGAAATTCGGGACAAGGGTGTTGGGGGTGGGGGAGCATACATTCAGTACATGATGCAGTGTCAACGAACAGTAAAACATGTGAAAGCCAAAGCACTAAAATGTATTTTTTTTGTCCATAAGGTGAACTGTGAACACAAAGACTTTGTTCAATTTAACAATCATGATCTGTTACATACAGTTTATTTAATTTTATTAATTTCATTAATGTGGTATCTGTGCAATTTGCAATGCGCAATTCCTTTCTCCATTCGTGCCTGCAACTACACTTCCCCTGTCCTCTTGACTACAACTTCCACTATCTTTGTCTATACTAGAAAACAAAAAGGGCAAAAGAGCACGGTGTTGCGTGTTACTTTGTGGCTATAACAACGCTGTTGTCCACGATACGCTACAGTCCCTGCTGTAGCTCAGGCATTCAGGGCAACACCAAAAGAATGTTTCACAACCATCAGTATTTAATGTTTATTAATCAAAACTCAAGTTTAGACAAATTTTCTAGAAAAACAGGACAGGATTCAGGACAACTGCTCGTAATTTAGGACTGTGCCAAATTTGCCTGGTCACCCTACATGGAACAACAAGAACAAGAAACTTGGATACATTAAAATCTCTGTACGCGTTCAATCTGTGTGTAGGGGATCAATCACTAAAGGTCATCTGACACAATGGCCAATAATATTTTGACACTATACCCTCTGCATAAGGAGGTTAACATTTAAATAATACAATGCCCTTTTTTACTATATGTAAATTCTACTACTATATAATATGAAGAACTTGTAGTTTCAGAACAAACTATGAAAATATGTAGGGTTACTTTTATGAAATATAGTGTTGTAGTTGTCATGGTAAAGCAAGTCAAGTTTATTGGTATCACATTTCAACAACAAGGCAATACAAAGTGCTTTACATAAAACATAAAAGCAACACAGGGCAATATAAAAAGACATTTAAATACAATTTTAAAAAAAGGTTAAATAGAAAATAAAAACATGATAAATCAGGAGAGTAAAAGTTACAGTGCAATGTAAGATATTATTCAAAAGCCTTACATTTTAATTTAATTAAAGGAAACGGCAAAAAGAAAAGTCTTCAGCCTTGATTTAAAAGAACTGAAAGTTTCAGCAGACCTGAAGTTTTCTGGGAGTTTGTTCCAGATATATGGTGCATAAAAACTGAACGCTGATTCTCCATGTTTAGTTTTTACTCTGGGGACATTAAGCAGACATTAAACAGACATGTCCCAGACAACCTGAGAGGTCTGGATAGTTCATAATGTAGCAGAAGATCAGTAATGTATATTGGCCCTAAACCATATTAAGAATTCTTTATTAATTAATTTTAGTTTTTAGTTTGTAATTTATTTTAGTTTTAGTATTTAGTTGTGACTACTTCAATATCATTTTTATATGTATATATTTAAGATGCATCTTGAAAGATAAAAAATGTTTTTTTTGCCTTTTAAGGTATGTCAAAAGCTACCTGGTTCCTGACAAAGCTCATCTCGGAAAGAGGAAAACATCTGTTAAAAAGAAGACACTAAATCCAACTTTCAAGGAAATCCTCAGAGTAAGAATCTAATGATATAATGACAGTAGTACTAAATATACACAGACACTTTCCCACACTGTAATGCTTAGTACTTGGCGTGCATGACGATCATCAAACAAAGCTTGCTCTTCCCTGCCCTTACAGTATCGTGTTCGCATGGACTACCTCCGAACCCAGACGCTCATTCTGTCCGTTTGGCATAACGACACCTTTGGCAGGAACAGTTTCTTGGGAGAGGTAGATATGGACCTCTCCAAGTGGGACTTTGACCACACCCAGATGAACTACTTACCTCTGAAAGCAAGGGTAAGAAGAAAACACAGGCTGCTTTATCTGCAGCAGTTGTTGTCTCATCAAATAACACCGGGTAATCTAAGAATGTGGTCAGCCAGCTCATTTCACTGGAGTCTATTTGAGCTTGTTAATATCACACGCACTGTAGTTATTGTGTAACCTGTGTACAAAGGGATTTTAAAGCTTCATGATGGATTTTGGATCTACTGTCTATGTAATGTTCGCTCTGCCAAACAATTCAGACTATGCCCACTCTAGCCCCTTCAAATGGTCGTGGAGAGATGAGACTAGCCATACGTTTCCTGCCACAGATCATCCACAGTGAAGGTCTGCCCACCATTCATACTATTATTTAAAAAGACTTTGTTATCTTATTTAGTTATCTGAAGTCTATTACATGATATTATACTTTCTATAGACAAGGTTCTTTAAATATTTAATATTTATATATTTAATATATCCGTCTTCAAAGGATTGGCTAAGGAGAGTCCAAACACCGGAGAGGTTCACATTTGGGTGAAAGAATGCAAGAACCTGCCTCTAATCAGGGCCACCATTGACCCATATGTTAAGTGGTATGTACAAACATCCATCTTAGTTAAAGGAATAGTTCGGCATTTTGAGAAAATACTCTTATTTGCTTTCTAGCCGAGAATTAGATGAGAAGATTGATACCACTCTTATGTCTTTACAATTAATATGAAGAGCCAGCAAGTGGTTAGCTTAGCTTAGCATAAAGACTGCAAATGGGGAAACAGTTCACCTGGCTCTGTCCAAAGGTAAAAGAATCGCCTCCCAGCACTAAAGCGCACTCATTAACATGCTGCATGTTTAATCTGTACAAAAGCAGAAGCCTAAAACAACAGTTTCTACGGGGGGACATGTGCCGGGTTATTTCTTGGCTAGGCTCAGTGACTTCCTGGTTTCTCCACTTCGGACAGAGGCAGGCTATCTGTTTCCCCGTTTCTAGTCTTTATTGTGAGCTAAGCTAACCCTTTCCTGGCTGTCACATTAACATCATCATGAGAGTGGTATCGATTTTCCCATCTAACTCTCAGCAAGAAAGCAAATAAGCGCATTTCCCACTCCTATTCCTTCAGTTGAAGTTTTCCACTGTATCAGTCAACATGTTTCTTTTTCTCCCTCATCTAAAGCTTTGTGCTGCCAGACACAAGCAGGAAGAGTCGCCAGAAGACACGTGTGCTGCGGAGGACAGTAGACCCAGTGTTTAACCACACGATGGTGTACGATGGCATCCAAGAGGCTGATCTAGCAGAAGCCTGCGTGGAGCTCACTGTCTGGGACCGAGACAGGCTAGCCAGCAACCTGCTGGGGGGCCTGAGGCTTGGAGCTGGAACAGGTACTGGTGAGAAAGAATCATTTCAAAATACACAAGCTGATAAAAAATCTGATGCATCTAACGGTTGTGTTCATCATCTGGAACATCGCATTGTTATAAACTAGAAAACTGTATTTTCTGGAGAAAATGTGGTGTTATTAATCGAGATCCTATAAGAGCAGACGTGGCAGAACGTTTTCCCTATAAAGATGTCAGATGGCAAAAGTAAAATGACATCTTTCTATTGCTTGTTTTGGCCAACCAACAGTCGAAAACCCAAATGTTGAGTTTACAATCACATAAGACAAAGAAAATCAGCAAATCAAGACAATTTAGAGGCTTGACTAAGGAATATTTTTATTTGAAAGCGATTAATCAGTTCTCAGTCAATAAAATAGTTGATTAATTGACTTATGGTTTCAACTGTACCTACATGAACCTTTCTGGATACATACATGATGGTCTTCAGCTCTTTGATAGTGACTGTCAATTGTACAGTGCTTTGTATGTTACATTGTGGGATAATTCAAGTCCACTAAATAGGGTGTTAATTCTCAGTGAACATTAAGACAAAGCTACCCAATTGAAACAGCAAAGTATAGTGGACTTGAAGTGAACATTGAATTATATCATTCAAGAAAAGAGTGATACCCTCACATATATATATATATAATATATAATATCAATATTTATATTCAAATGCAGCAATTTACATACAGACTTTATAGTCTGAAAAAGAACATAAAACTGTGTCAAATGTTATTTCAATATGTAATCATGTACAATGCAATGTTATAAAACTTTTTCTAGATGAAAGTAAGAAGTGGGAAGAGTTGACGCAACGCTAGGTTTCAGCATTCCTACCATTCAAAAATAAATTGGAAATGGTTGGGCACCACTGGTTTAAACTTAACTTAACAATGCGATGGATTTATAAAATGATCATATTGTGTTTGTATGTAAAGTCTTAATCTACAAGCTAAATAGTAACTACAACTGTCAAGTTGATGTACTGGAGTAAAATCAATATCTCCCTCTGACATTTAGTGGGGAAGTATAAAGAAAAAGGAAAAACTAAAAAGGAAAGCGCTACATGTAGTTACTTTACACCACTGTATCAATGATATCATAGAATAGACGTGTTTTTAATGCTTGTATTTGACTGTATGTCTCCCTATAGGCAGAAGTTATGGAGCAGCGGTGGACTGGATGGACTCAACTCCTTATGAGGTGGCCCTTTGGGAGCGCATGAAGGCCACCCCGAATGAATGGGTGGAGGATGTACTCCCAATAAGAATGCTGAGCTCTGCCAAAACTGCCTTCAAATAAGTAAAAGTATACCACACTGTCATACTGCAAATACAGTATATTTTGAGAGGTAAAAACACACATTGAATTTACTGTTTTAAAAGATCCAGTGCATTGTGGTATTATGAACACTCTAGGGTCTATGTTGAAACTTCACAGGTACACAAAGAAAAGAGGAAATAATGTTGGAAAAACACCACTGGAGAGTGAGTTGTGTATTAATTCAGAAACTGGCACAACTCTGAGGTTTTATTCAGGAAGGAAAGAAGAAATACACCTGCTGGTATACAGTATGTGTTGGCTATTGCCTTTGTAGGGTGTTCAAACAATAATGTCACTGGACAAAAGCAGCACACAGGGAAATGTCATCAAGACACACATTCATCGATCACACTACAATAAACCCTCGACTTAAACATAACAAAGCTAACAAAATACAAAAAAACAGGCTGATGATAATAAGTATAGTGAGAACAGGGGAGTCCCTCTACATTCACAAAAAAAACTGCAGCATCGTTTACACTGTGGAATTCCTAAGGGGAAAAAAACGTTTCTTCAGACTCTTCCAGATCTGCAAAATGACTTCTCCCTTCCCTATTAGTTAAAAGTGTCACTTTGGAGACTTGCCAAACAAAACAAGAACTTCTCACCCCTGAGGAAGAATGTCTTGCCAAGCTAATGGAGCCACGGCAACATTTTTAGACAATAAAATTACTCTTTTTATTTGAGCCGGGATTAAGTCAAAGAAGAGAATATACAGACCTCCTCTTCTCCTGCCCTACTTATCAGTCAAACACACACACATGCAAACACAAACATCCTCTCTGTCTTTCTTCTCACACCCAGATGAGATCTGAGATAAGGGCTGCCAGTCATCTATCACAAAAGTTGAAAAGGGACATTCCTAAGTGGATAAACTGTTACATTCTTCCTTTTCAGCCAGTATAAATTAATTGAGTTGGCTATCTAAACATTCAGTAATCCAGCTACCATTCCTCAGCACATTTTCTTGACGAATAGCCCAACTCTGATTGTTGTACTTGGACAAATTAGTGAAATATTAATTCAAAGCTAACCTCTTATTTACCATGTGACAACATTGCCACATCTACTTAACAACAGGACAGAATAGCTATAAATACCGTCATGGTAAATCTGGGCAATATTGTAGCTATTGTACTGTGTTATGTAAAAAAAACTGTGTTGTTTAACCTTATGCCACCTATTTATAATGTTGGAAATTATGTTTTGATATTAAATAGTATTAGGAATCATCTCAACAGCATTTGTCAGGAATGGCATGTCAATGATTGAATGATCTGCTAAAATAGTTCTTGGTTAAATCATGTTTCCTTGAATATTCTATAATAATAATTTAATAGTACAATGCTTTATTTGAGCCTTTGTAGGTAAAGAAAAAAATCACAGATTAAAGTCATACATTTATTTACAAGAAAGAAACTTCCTTTCCTCTGAGATTAAAGTGGTAAATGTACAAGTACAAACTCACAAATGTGCAGTATTGTAAAGTCATTAATTTGCCAGAAATTTAAATTAGTGTATTAGGGCTGTTGTTAGTAAAAAAAAATTAAATATAAATAAATTATGGGGCTGGGTGAGAGGAGTACACAGAAAATTGAGAAGAGTACTACTCTGGATTAGTAGTTAGTGTCAAAACCAAGCGTAAAAACAAAGTGTCACTAAATCAAACCTTTAAGTGTAATTGTATAAATATTACTCTGTTCCTGGCTTTTACAGTTGAAGTGTTCATGTCATCCCGCCCCCACTGCGTAAGCCTACACACACCGACTGGCTGAAGCCAGGAGAGTCTTCATGAAAGCACTCCACTGACTGATAGGAAACTAGGGACCGTGCTTTTGACCTTGGTCTAAACTTTAACACTGTTTGATAAGTAAATGAAGTAGTAATGTTATATTTTGTATTGATATTGATCTACTGGCACCTGGTCATTTTGCAATGGTGAGCTATCGCCACCATAGACTGGTCGCCACACTGCTACTAGCCACCCCAAAACCAGGTTAACAAGTTAGCAGTTAGAGTGCATCCCTAATCTGTTCATTCTGTTACATTTTTTAATGTAATGGAATCAAATTATTTGAGTTGCAAGTGCTAAAATAAATGTTTTACACCATGAAACAAGACTAGCTTTATTTTGCAAACTTTATTTTGTTTAGCAATATGGAAGAGCTATATTTACACCTTTAAAATGTTACGGGGCTAATACTTGTATAAAACCAAATGAGAGTTAATGTTAAAGTGTTCCATCTCCCACTGAACAGCCTGAAAAAAGCCTCTTTGTAGTCCAGCTTTTTTCCGTTACCATGTTACGTCACTTGGTAACACGCGTCAAAAGCTCACCTAGCAGCTAGTCAGGCAAGCCCTCAAAAACACAGATGGAAAAACACACTGAGGGCTCGTGCAGACTACATGACTTTCAACGTCGTCCGATGGCCGTGCCGTTCACACTACACAACTTGCTGTCTCATGACAGCCGCTGCCTCCCCTCTCCCTTCCAAACATTAGATACCCTCGAGGCAGTCAAGGGACATAAAGTTGTTACCGTGATATAGAGACAGTGCAGTTAAAACTTTATGGATAAAAAATACATTTGTTACAAATTAATAACTCACTACCACTCTGAAACTCTTGCTCCAGTCAATGTTGCTAAGCTGGTCCGCCAACATGTACAGCTGAACCGAAGCCGTGTTTACCGGCTTTTCAGGACCCGCCCTACTCTGCTTCTGACTGGCTAGTAGTCCTCAACTAGGTACTGTGCATGTGCAACTTCCAACTAAGATCTTGTAGAAGTGAGATGCATCACTCCATAGCTAAAACAGAGCATTCAACACACAGGGTAAAAAGAGGTGCTGCAGCAATGTACAGTATGACAACAAATGCTGTTATGGTGTTTTTTGAAAATGAAACCATGAAAACCAATCTGGTACAACCCCTAAATAAAATTATGAACCATAAATAAGCATAATATGACCACTTTAAATTAACACTCTGTGGTGTGGACAGATAAAGACACTTAAAAAGTGTTAAAATAAACTCTGACAGTGATCATTTGGAGATGCTGATTTTACTGTGTAATATTCTGAGATTAATTTTTTTTTTACAATTAACAAGAAAAAAACCCAGATTCTCACAGATTAAGTGGTAAATTTAGGAGAAATATGAGAAAAAGTAGGAAAAATGTTGTCTGAGTTATTTTTAGTCATTAATAATATGAGTCAGTTTAAACATGAGAAAAGAAGCAGAGCTTTCAGGTAGTTAGGCAGATTTGAGGGACTGCAACAAAGCCACTGAAATCATGTGTCAGTTTTTTTATGCTTTTGGTCTTTGAACAGAAGGAAGTATCTCATAGTACTGCTCGGTGAAAGTAGCTTATAGGTTATAGTTGTTATTAACATCTGTATACCTTGCCTTTTATAGAGTACAAGCTGATTGGTTGAGTGTTTTTCTCATAAATTTGTGACTTTTAATATGCGCAGGAATGTCTCTTCTTTGACTTTTCAACAAGTAGATAAGACCTCAGCTTTGTTCAGATCAAAAGTAGGTGTAAAGTAAAATATATTAATTAATTCCTATTTAGAGAAGTTAACTGCCCTATCACTATGTTAACATCTAATCATTTTTGTTTTTATAATCAGATAACGTACACTTCACTATTGCCAATAAGATCAGGTTTATTTCATCATGTAATATCTGCTATTCATCTGTTTTGTTTGTGTGTTTATGTGTGTGTACACACTGTTGTACCAGTACCTGGACACTATATATGCTGTTTATTTATTTAAGTTTCTCAAGGGATGTTATTTAAATGTCCACAACAATGAAATTTTCAGGTTAACTTTGAACATTTCTGCACATTATCATACGTCAGAATTTAGATTTTCAGTACTTTTGTCACTTTTGACATTCTGTTTTTCTTTAGTATTTCTTCTTTTTTTTAATCCCAGTAGTCTACCTTAAAGCTTTGGCCTTTGATCTGTAAAGCTCCTCTCAGTAACTTAACTTTGACATGTCCTTTGTTAAACAATACTAAGACACTTGCTAATGCATTTTTCATTGCACTGGACCTTCAAGAATTCCACCTTAAGAGTATATATTGTATCTTTTTTATGACAATTCAAACTGTCCCAAACCTTTTATTCATGATTCAGCGGTTGTACCTTCTAAAAACCAGACAAACACTTATTTTGACAGTAAGCAGTCTGATTGCATTTGACAGCATATCTGACATGTGATGAACTGCACTTAATTATGTTAATCACAAGTGGGATTAAAGAAATACAAAACAACTTTCACATGTCTATTTTTTTTTATTGCTTTGCAAATTCTGATAAATGTTGTAAGAGGTTAACCTATATTCTAAATACCATCCCTGTTTTGACTGGAAAGTGACTGCTTCAAGTCAAAATGTCTGCTCTTGTTTTTACTACCTATGTATGTCTGAAACATCGTGGACAGAGAGAGACTCTCTCTCTTTCTCTCTCGGTCTCTCTCATGGGATTTGATTAGTTTTCAGATGGAGAAACAAATAGTTAAGATGAGATTGCAGACAGTTACGGTCACCTGCTGCTGTAGCAGCTCAGGGACAATGTACCTGTACCTGTGTGCGAAAGGAAGACATGAAGCAACAAGAGTTTTCATAGTATCGTGCTACATGTGTAAATGTTTTGTATTTAAATTAAAACAGACCCACGGAGTTCTGTTCACTGTGTAAGTAGTCCATCTAAGATAGATTTATAAAAAAATTTTAGACAATAAATCACATTTGGATGTTCACTTTTCCACTTTGTTTGTTGTTTTTTTTTAGCTGTAGCCAAGGTAAAGAAATAATTGACATGCACAACTTTTAAGAAAACATTGATGAGAAATCCTAAATGTGCTTAGAATAATGCTAATAGTTTGAACATCTACACAGATAGTACAGCAAATATTGTTGTTTAAATCGAGTATCCAACTTGACTTAAATCAGCCAGTATTTCATCATTTACTCCATCCTGTTGGTTTTATGTGATTCAGTCTGTTCATAAAATAAGTCGGTCAAAAAGTTTAATGGTGTTTTATCAAAGAATAAAGTATGTATAGAGTTATTTCTTCATCATTCTCATTGAAAATACTTTATGAGTACACTATTTCTAACTGACAACAAAAGATAACACCATTCATTAAATACTTCAACATGACTGACACCATCATTACAGCTAACAATTATAATACACATTTTTTGTACAGATTCTGTGCCCCCATCTCCACATTAGTTAACTATTTGATTAAAAAGTTGAAAGGCTAGATTACTGCTGACCACTGTGTTATATTGCTGTTTGTGAAATGGAAAAAGCTAAATAGTAGTTTGACAGTATGATATTACTATTGTTGACTATTTCTCGTGACTTGTTTTACTTTATCTGCAGCATAACTGCCATGCTTTGTAGATCATGAAGTGTTAAACTGGCAGTTTGGGAGATTGAAGGGACTCCACTCTCAGTCAGGGGATGTTACTGGATCATGTGTTTTCTCTGTCTGATGTGCAAAGCAAAGTAAACAGCCATGGCACCGAGGAGAATAGTTAGGATGACGATACAGACAATTACAGCCACCAAAGGGGTATTGTAGTTCTGAGATGACATACCTGTGTAAGCAGGGAAGAAGAAAAGCATGAAGATAGACGACAATAGTATATGTCATGGGAAAAATAATTCACGTTAAAATCAAATTTGGCCTAGGCCAGTGAAGTGTGAACAGTACATTCAGAATGTCACATATAATGCATATTCTTACCGGAAGAAGACAACAAAGTTTGAATCTCTCCTGAAAAAAATAACCAAAACAGTGGTTAATAATTGACAAGATTCACTTTTTGTGTTAAAGTTCATCAAATTAACTTTCATTACCCAAAATGGCAAATTTTCATTTAATGTGCATATTAGCTTTCTTGCTGAAAGTTAGATAAGAGATTGTTACCCCTCTCGTGTGTACCGCTAGTAGTTTGTCTACCATAAAGGCTGGAAATATGAGGTTACAGCTAGCCTGACTATGTCCAATAATTAAAAAACTCACTAAAGCTAAAGCCTAAAGCTTAAAGATCCAACGAAGTTTAAAGTCAAGGGCAACTGGACTTGGTTGAAGATCTTCAACCAAGTCCAGTTGCCCTTGACTTTGCCCTTGACTTTAACCTTTGTTGGATAACTATGACCTGGATGACTGAGAATCTTCATAGACATCTAAAGCTTAAAGACAATTTATAGTTTTTCAATTTCCAGTCTATATACTAAGCTGATGGCTTCTGGCTGTAGCTTCATCTATGGCATACAGACAAAATAAGATCCCATAAGTAAATATTGTCATTATGGCCCTGGTTCATTTTGAGTGTCCTCTTCAAGAAAAATGACAGCATCTGTTACATACGTTTACATTGTCCAACTGACAATCAACATTGTCTTTGACCAGTGTGACCATGGTCAAGGTGAAGGTCTCTTAACCTTAACAATAGTAATTTTAACCCAAATAATGATCTTTCCCCTAAAACTAACAAGTTGTTTTTGAGTCTAAATCCTTAACCATTGCATGGTCTTCATCATAAAACAGATTTCTTCGTAACGGTTTTGGAAGGCACAAAGAAATGGTATAGTCCTGCCAATAGGGGTGTCAGATCAGAAATCACTTCTATGTGTGCATGGAAAATAACATAGTTTTTTGTTTAATTTGGAGGACTTTTTTTACATATTTTTGTAATAATATATATTTTTTTCTGCTTGCTATGTAAGTTTTTCATTGGGTCAAACAAGAAATACTGATTTGATCGAATCAACCAATCAAATCAATATTTTGCACATTTTAAAGCAATTTCGTTTACTTTAGAATGTGCATGTTTATTCACCATGTATAATTTTATTTTGCCTTAAAGACGCACCAATGCTCTGTTTTCCCACAATAATGGCAGGCGAGGTGACTGTAGTGTTGGTCAGCATATCCTCGACCTCTCTCTTTCTCCTATTGGAACCTCCACAGTTCTGTTCAAAATGAATAAAAGACAATCAAAACTCTGATGTGTGAATTTACTATCCATCTATATCTACCTCTATCTTTAAAAAAATGTTAGGAACTCTGGTGTCTACTCACAGGCAATAATCTGCTACACGAGGACACCTCACAGAGTCTGGTGACGCAGTGCAGGTAGAAAGTGGAAATTGTGAGATTTTTGTGCTCCATGAATCTGAAGGCCTCAAAGGAGAAGTGTGCAACCTGAGATACTCCATTGTGCTCTACCCTAGTTTGTGGGTCACGTGTACACCTTGTGTGAAAAAGAGACAGGTGGTGTGACTGCACACGGGGTATTACAAAGAGCTAGCATGGAGTTGAGTGTCAGAGGAATTGGAAGGTATTATATACTGCTACATATATGTGACTTACCCTACAAAAAGGTCATAATATGTTCTGAGGTTGGGAAATGGACTTGTTGTGGCGTAGCATCTGTCCAGCAGCACGTTGAACCTGCGAGGACAGAGAAGGGGGATTTTAAGTGTCTTTCCGTATTAATGTAACTTCTGGTTCACTGTAAACTATAAAAAGTTAAATACCTTTCTGTTAGATTGCTAGCCTGAACTGCAACATAAATCTTGGTCTTCAGGTTGAGTCCTGATTGCGGGATCGTAAGCTTCTCTTGGTACAGTGCGTCCTGTTCCATGTAAAATAAGAACAAAATCAAGTTTAAAAAAGTTTAATAAGTCAAAATACATATTCTAAAAGCAACAGGTCTTACTTTGTAGAGGTGCATTTTCAGTGTGCTGATGAAGCTACCATTGTTGTCTCTTATGGCAAGATTCACACCTGCTCTGTATTAAATTCAAATAAATTCATAATATGCATTAGAAACTTGGGTGAACCAAATTGTAGCTGAGTCCTGCTTATTCACGTACAGTGGTGGTGTTATTTCTTGACATACTTACACGCTCACTTCAGAGTTGTTCAGGAGATACTGCATCGGGTACAAGCAGGAGAACTTGTACACGATCTGCGGGCGATAGGTGATCATACCTGCAGTGGGGTCTAAAGACGTAACACTGCCAGAGACGTTGACGAACTGGACATTTGAGAAGTCTGCAAACTGTCCACTCCCAACCTGACTGATTATCTTTCAAAAAACAAATATTAGAATATTATTACATATATATTTCACTGAAAATTGTTTAAATCAGTTTTCAGCTTTCTTTTTTGATGCTGGAATACAAGATCCAATCCTTGGTTTTCATGTAATGCCATGCAATACCACTAAAATGTACCACAGAAAACTTTACTGTAGTTTCTGCACTACTGTAATATTTGAGTGTATGTAAAATCTTCTTTTATATCATAGAAAATGCAAGGTAAAGCAATTTTGAAGAATACCTTAAAGTTATTATTGCAAGATGAGATGGAACTGTCATTTATGGGGAATCTGAATTTTAAAACAGGTGGGTCAACGGCCCAGTCAGCAGTCCCAAAACACTGAGGTGTGTTGAACTGATTATTGAGGACCATCAGTGTCTCATTATAAAGAGCTTGGTACATGGGGCAAAGGTAGATTCTCAGGTCCATATACTCAGTGCCACAAATCACAGTTATATCAGAGTTATCTGGAAGAGATTAAAAGAGAGCGTGTAAATCAAACTGCAATGGAAGTGTGAAAATAACAGTTACTAAAGAACATATCAAAGAAAATGCCACAAACCTGGAGGTCTGTTTGTATTGCTGAAAATGCACCGATCCGGTATCTGTGCCTCGGTCCTCAGAATGAGGCCAAGCTGGCACATAAGGATGACCAACTTCATTGTGATGACCTGTGAGAAAAAAAGCAAAACAATGGGAGCCAAGCATTCACTATCTTCTTTCAAGAAGAAAGTGCTTTGAAAGAAATGGCCAAGTCTTTTATGAAAAAAAAACAACAGATCTGCTTTCCTGTACATGAGGGAAAGTCTACAAAGGTATTAGAGTTAGTATTAGAGTTAAGTCCATTATGCAACATACAGTAAACAGTCACTTGAAGAAAAAAGGAAAGACATGCATAAGACTTGGCCGTTTCATGATTTATGCATTGTTATTTTCAAAAGAAAAAATTTGCTTGACACAAGTTACCAACACCCTTCAATTCAGATGCATCTCTGAAAGAAGTGTTCACAATTGATGAAAATATTAGTTGTATTTTGTCATAAACCTATCCTGCATTTTGCTTATCAAAATTGGGAGCTGGCATTATTTACCAGATAATATGTCAAAATTAATTTAGACTCAATGAATCCAGGAACAACATTACAGTATCTGTAAATTGTATTTTTCTTCATTGTTTTAATAGTAAGAAAAATCAAAAAATATTTTACCAATTAAAATCTTTTCATTATATTCTTTTTTACACATTATAAATAAATGTAACCTAAAGTATTAAACTACCAGGAAAAAGAGGTGATCTTATTCTAGGTACTTACCTGTAAGTCTTCTTTTTTTGTCTTGCTATTGGCCACCAGATAGGCGCATTTATACTGTACCACAGGGGCGTGCCAGGGAAGGTCTAAGATGCTAGCGCAACATGAGCTGGACCTTGAATATCTTTTTTTTTTTTGTCTGAATATTTTACATGCAATTTATCTAAAATAAACTTTGACACAGTCCAAGATGCCAACTTCACCCTTCCAGGGTTCCCAAGCCTGTTTTTGGTCTTATTTGTTAGTTGAAAGGATTAATCTTAATGCCATATGTCTGCAACACGGGTGCTTATTAATGCGATGGTATTAATCTCAGCAGAGAGAATTTATTTTTGCTTGTCCTGATCCTCATTGTGATCAGTCAGAAACCTCCACCACGGGAGGTGGTAGCCGGTCAGCATGTTATTTAAAGATAGACATGAAAATGGGTGCTTTTTGTTGAGAGATGAACAAATTCCGTGATACGTAATGGCATTTAAAATTAATAATTTCTTTCATGTACTGAAGACAAAATTGTGTAATTCATAGTTTGCTCACATCATGTGTATTCTACAGGAATAGGGGTGATTACCATCAGGGTATCAGGATTGATTGTCACTTTGTGTCCTCTTGTTGCCACATTTAAAGCAGTCAGCTTTAAACTTAATGTAATGCATTAAAGTAAAGTAATGCATTGGCAATCATCTCACCTTTGGTCTGGCTTTAAATATAACCTTATATGTAATATGAATGCTAGTTTAACAACTGGTAATGATGTTGTGCAAAGGAAAAACACTTGTTTGCTGTTTTTGTCAGAGCGCTGCATAGAAAACCACCACATAAACAATGTTTTTCATAGGGCTCTGAAAAGGGCATCAGTAATCAGATCTCAAGTGTACTTTTTTGAGATCTTATGATGTGATAAGAGTCATTATTGTTCTTCAGAATGTAAGTTTTGTAATGGATCACTGTTTGTTATTGCCTCAGGCTGTAAACTGTAAATAGAAAATGGCAAGGCTGTTTTGTAGAGTGCGAATAAAAGTCTTTTGTGAATCATTGCTACACGAAAGGGACTCCTGAGTTATTTGTGCTCCCTAAAGAACACCATCACAATACACCATGAGGATACAACCTCAAAAAGTTGCCTGTTAGATTACTTTAGACATATCCGATGTCAAATGTTACTTTTAATCTCTCTTTTGTTGTGTATGAGCATTTGTCTTCAGGCTTCGCCACCAGTGTTACTAAGGGCACATTTCTTCAAAAGTTGGACCCAAAAGCAGTAAATATGATCCCCCTTGGAAAATAATGAGACTAACCTGGTACAGGCCTAAACACAAATTTAGGTCAAGACCTATTACGTATTAAAAAGGAGTGGTTCTAGTTAGTGTTTGCTGCAGGTCTTTTAAATATGCAGTTAACACAAATGTAGTTCAAAAAGACGATGACTCACTACTCAGCTTTAAGTGGAGATTGATGACTTTGATTTTGACCATGCTAAGTTTGAGGATTCATTTTACCAAAATGTTTATCTCATCGTCTCATAGCAATGTAGGCCGAAACATAGGCATAGGCCGTCGGATATTTTAATTAGAAAAGAACGTAAGATAGGATGCTGCTGTATCCCTGACATTATGTTGCCTGGGAATGAAAACTTTGCCAAGTAAACCAAGAGGATGTATTGTGAGTTTTGCTGTGATACATGGAATATAAGGTCCAGCTTATCACAGATATGTCAGTATCAGCGTATGTGTTGGTCAATACTGTACTTGATGTTAGTTAAATAAAGTTTAACACTCGAACACAGATTCATTTTTTTAGTCAAGCATTTGAAACTTTCAGTAACACATTTTCCCCCACGACAATCCCTGGAAACATGCTTCCTGTTTTTCCTGTATACGTTAGTCCCATAAGATTTTATCAGCACAGAAGAGCTCCATCTAAAATCCCAATTTGTTTAGGTAATGGCTGAGCTTTACTTTAACATACATCCCTTACACTTTGCAACAATGGCAGACCACAGAAACGTGAGGAATAACAGACTCCATATACTTTTAATGGGAACAAAATCTATGGATGTTTATACTGATACAACAATGGCAGTCATTATAGTCTAAGAGGACAAACTAAGTGTCTTGTATATCTCCTGTAACAAAAAAATCCTTTCATTAAATAATCCTTTCTTAAATAAGTCCTATGAACAATAAGGAGTTGTCAGCATTCTTTAGTTTAGATCAGCTTTTGACTGAAATTAGAACATGCTGTACACTGAGCCACACTATAAAGCACATGCAACACCTGAGCTGTATCATATCATGTTATGACAGTAAAATAGTAAAATAGCCCTTTTAAAAAAAAAAAGTCACATCCGAACACACCTCTTTCATCGATGTACTTTAAATGGTAAACCAATCCAAGGTTTGTTCTAAAACTTTTTGATCTGTGACCCACTTGGTTTTTTGGGGGGGGTTCCACCCTCAGTATCTGTTTTCATATGAATATTCAGTGTTAAAAATATGAGAAATATGAGGTATTAACCAACATTTCAGTTTCCTTTATATTTTTAAAGTTACTTACTGGATATTAATCTGGCCTTTACAGGTGTGGTTTAGATTTTTTCTTCCTCCCAGAATCTGGTTGTGCTTGCACTGACTGGGAAGAGTTATACAGTTGAAGTCTCCTTCAGTGGTGGAAGAAGTATTCCTCCTTAACTCAAGTAAGATTGACAGTAACAAATATATAGGCTACTCCATAAAGAGTTGAGCACTCAAAATTATGTACTACTAAGTTTTAGAATATTTATATTAACTACTTTATATAGTGTTGGGTACCTTAAGATAATGATGGTGGCATAACCCTTGCTTGTGACCTATCGACATCACCAAACTGTTGAATTCTTCATTTGTGATGCTATTCCAGGCTTTTACCGCAGCTTCTTTCAGTTCTTGTTTGTTTCGGGGTGTTTCTCCCTTCAGTCTCCTCTTAAGGAGGTGAAATGCATGCTCTATAGGGTTAAGGTCAGGCGACTGACTTGGCCACTCTAAAACCTTCCACTTTTCCCCCCTGATGAAGTCCTTTGTTTTGTTGGCAGTGTGCTTTGGGTCACTGTCCTGCTGCATGATAAACTTCCTCCCGATTAGTTTCAATGCATTTCTCTATAAATTGGCAGACAAAATGTTTTTTGTACTCTTCTGAATTAATTCTGGTGCTACCATCATCAGTTACATCATAATATTAATGAGCCTGTTCCAGAAGCAGCCATGTACGCCCAAGCCATGACATTACCTTCACCATGCTTCACAGATGAGCTTGTATGTGTAGCGACTGGAGGGTGGGGGTTATATATACACGAAACTAGAATTAGGTCCCTACAACTGAAAAGAACTAATACCTTTATTAGGGAACCAAATAAGCAAGAACAACTACGCCAACACTATCCTACAGGACAGTGTAATAGGTCCTAGAACTGAATGAACAGAGACATGCATCCACAAATATAAAGCTTTATTTATAATTTTCAGTTTGCCAAAATATACTTCATCTATTTTAAATGCATATAACATAGGCCTCACACACACCCATCCATTCACATAAAACCACATGAGGTATTAACAGAACCAATACCTGTAGACTACACTCACCTAAAGGATTATTAGGAACACCTGTTCAATTTCTCATTAATGCAATTATCTAATCAACCAATCACATGGCAGGTGCTTCAATGTATTTACGGGTGTGGTCCTGGTCAAGACAATCTCCTGAACTCCAAACTGAATGTCAGAATGGGAAAGAAAGGTGATTTAAGCAATTTTGAGCGTGGCATGGTTGTTGGTGCCAGACGGGCCGGTCTGAGTATTTCACAATCTGCTCAGTTACTGGGATTTTCACGCACAACCATTTCTAGGGTTTACAAAGAATGGTGTGAAAAGGGAAAAACATCCAGTATGCGGCAGTCCTGTGGCCGAAAATGCCTTGTTGATGCTAGAGGTCAGGAGAATGGGCCGACTGATTCAAGCTGATAGAAGAGCAACTTTGACTGAGATAACTCGTTACAACTGAGGTATGCAGCAAAGCATTTGTGAAGCCACAACACACACAACCTTGAGGCGGTTGGGCTACAACAGCAGAAAACCCCACCGGGTACCACTCATCTCCACTACAAATAGGAATAAGCGGCTACAATTTGCAAGAGCTCACCAAAATTGGACAGTTGAAGACTGGAAAAATGTTGCCTGGTCTGATGAGTCTCGATTTCTGTTGAGACATTCAGATGGTAGAGTCAGAGTCATTTAGAGTCATAGAGTCATTTGGCGTAAACAGAATGAGAACATGGATCCATCGTGCCTTGTTACCACTGTGCAGGCTGGTGGTGGTGGTGTAATGTGTGGGGGATGATTTCTTGGCACACTTTAGGCCCCTTAGTGCCAATTGGGCATCGTTTAAATGCCACGGCCTACCCGAGCATTGTTTCTGACCATGTCCATCCCTTTATGGCCACCATGTACCCATCCTCTGGAGACGAGCGCGCTGGAGATGAGCGCGCACCAACTAAGGCCTCAGCCTAGCCGCTGCACGCTACAAGTAATACAAATTACACTTTATGAACTGCGAAGACCAATAATGCACATTAAACAACAAAAACGCTTACCAATTTTAGAATGGACAATGAACCAGGTTGGGGAATACAATGCTGAACCCCGTGCACCCGCGCCGTGCATGCAAGCTGTGCACTGGAGGTCCAAAAGAATCAATAGATTAGCGTGGAACAATTTTATAAATAAAGTACCACGCGATGACATTTAAGCTACTCACCGTTTGAATGTTTTGCAATGTTCACAGCACGAGCTGGGAGATACCCCTGTTGACTCGTGTATGCACCAATGTGCCAGATGTCTACAAACCAAGACGCAACGATTACACACGAGATGATGAATGAAAGTGCGGTTTATTTTCTCTGTACTCACCGATGGAACACGCAAGATGGGTGCAGATCACCGGGCTTAGGGCCTACACCGTGATCTGTTTGAGTTTGGAGCAGCTCAGGCCGGGCGGAAGCGTGCACCGCTCCCAAGCACTGCTTCCACACGCGTGTGACGTCAGAGGCGGGCAAAAGGGTCAGCCCAGGTGAGGAGACCTCCTTTTAAAGGCTCCGGTGCGTGACGTATACTTACCAGTCGGCATGCGGGCATACTGCCACGTTCGCTTCGGATCATAAGCAGTTCCTTTCTTTTTCCACACTTTGGTAGAAATTAATATTGGTCTCATCAGTCCATAAGATTGTGTTGCAGAACTTTTGCAGCTCATCTCTCTTTGCAAATTTCAATCTGGCCTTCTGATTCCTGCTGATGAGTGGTTTGCATCTTGTGGTGTGGCCTCTATATTTCTGCTCTCTGAGTCTTCTTCGAACTGTGGATTGTGATACCTTCACCCCTGCACTGTGGAGGTCGTTGGTGATGTTTTGGGGATTTTCTTCAATAATAGACAATGACAATAGCTTGCTTTTTTCCCATAGACAGCTCTCTGGTCTTCATGTTGATCCTCTTTAACAGGAAATGCAGTCCTTATAGGTTTGAACCAAGAATGAAAACTTAGATTCGTCATGCAGAACTATTTAATGTTTGGACAGTCAACCTAAAAGGAAAACCTGGGCAACAAGAAACATCTATCAGTCACATCTTCCAGTAGTTTTGCTCACTTGAAAAATGGAGGGGGTTAACACATCTAGACATTGAATACCAATGAGAGCTGAAATTTTGAACACTTGTTCATACTCATCTTTTGATCTTAAACCCAAATGTCTTCAGTGAACAACAAAAACAAAGGAATTTGTACAGTAGTTATGGTATTGTTGTATTGTAGGGCTGCAAAAAATACTTATACTCATTACTGAGTAACTTGTTGATTATTATTATTTAATTAATTAATTAATCAGTCATTTAGTCTAGAAAACCAGGAAAAATGCCCAGGAGCCCCAGGTAGCATATTAAACTTTTTGTCCGACCAAGAGTCCAAAATCCAAAGATATGCAATTTTAAAACAGAGACAGGAAGCAAAGAACCATTTATTGTAGAAGATGGGACCAGAGAATGTTGCATTTTTGCCTGGAAATGACTGAAACCATAAATGACACATCAAAATAGTTGCCAGGAGATTTTAGAGCACCTCATGCTATCATCTGCTGACAAGCTTTATGGAGATGCTGATTGCCTTTTCCAGCTGGACTTCGCACCTGCCCACAGTGCCAAAACGACTACTAACTGGTTTGCTAACCATGGTATTACTGTGATTGACTGGCCAGCCAACTCACCTGAACTAAACCCTATAGAGAATCTATTGGGTATTATCAGGAGGAAAATTAGAGACACCAGTCATAACAATACAGACAAGCTGAAGGCCGCTATCAAAGCAACCTGGCCTTCCATAACACCTCAGCAGTGCCACTGGCTGATTGCCTCCATGCCACGCCACATTGATGCAGTAATTTGTGCAAAAGGAG